CACTGCTATGTTCAATGGTTAACCCCTGCATAGGATAGGTAGGTGTCACCCTTTGAACAATCCTTTGTGAAGATATATTTACTCTACTGGCTATTTAGTAAAACATGATATCTTTGAACCATACTGTTGTTTGTGTAGACGATGATATATCTTACAAAAAAACCTTCCAACCTTTGTTATGTTCTCATGGATTTGCCCATTTTAGCCATGGAACACCATTCTTGATTCTGCAAAATTTTCTAAAGAACTAAGCCTAATCAAATCTCCTTTGAAGTGGCCCCCACTTCTCTCTCACATAGGTGATTCTTTTTGGAGTATCATGTATGCTCAATCATGTCAACCGACACTTCGAATCATTACAGCATTAAGCATGCTAACATCGTTCGAGAGTCACTATTCAATAAGGAGTTGTTAGAAGTCCGAGATTCTCACATTGGTATGCTTCATTCCATAATTTAGTTGCTAGGAACGTAAAAAAACTACAGTATTAAAAACAAATCCGTATTAAGAAAGTTGATCGGGAGAACTCGACTTGATGGAGTTCGTTGAAATCCTTGTATTCAAGCTCAAGAAGCTCTCGAAATCGCGCAAAGGAAAAGCACGATTTTGGCCTACCTCAACATCGTAATTATAGACAAGGGAGGCGGGAAAATTTGAAATTCAAAATAAATCACAAATAAAATAGGTAACCCCATCATGACACGTGGCAGGTGAGTGTATTTGGGCGGTGATCCGCACGGTCCGCCGTAGGGCGGCGCTGCACGTGATCCCGACCCAGCTAAGGGTCCTTAGATTTCAATTTCCACTCGGATTCTATAGTCAGAGCCCCTCAAGACGTCACCCTATCTCGGGACATGGACTAGGAGGCTACTTGATAGGAAATTATACCACGGTATACCAACCCATGTGTACTAATTAAATACCTGATCGGATCCGACTCCACACATATTGGAGATTTTTCCCGACCCGATCCGACATTGAGATAGTACCTGACCGACCCGACCTGAGAGTTAGGAATTCGATTTGCTTAATGTGCTTCTACTCTTAGCCTTGTATACTCGGTCCCGACCTGACTGCCCGATTAAGGCCCCAAGTCCATGAGATAACCTCCCAAAGGTGAACACTAACAATAATGCTTGAACCAAGCCCGAGGCCATTGATCAATAAGATATTGCATTCCACGTTGATGTTTTCCTTAGCCTCTGAAACCGCTGAGTGCATCAAGGACATATGATGTGCATGTCAAACTCTTGGCATGTGTCCTCTTCAATTTCCTATAAGGGTGTGTTTGGAAACCCGGAAAATGACTTCTGGAAGTCATTTTCCGGGTTTTTGGTGTTTGGTTACATTGGAAAATGACTGGTCAAAGGAAAATGGGGTGGAAGTCAATGGAAAAGGAAGGCAATTTTATGGAAAATGACTTCCCCTTTTTTTTGGGGGAAGTCATTTTCCAACTTTTACACCAACATCATCAACATCATACCACCACCACCACCACTACCAACATACCACCATCGCCGCCATCACCACCATACCACCGCCACCACCACCACCATACCACCGTTGCCACACCACCACCATCACACCACCTTCGCCGCCGCCGCCACCACTACCACCATACCACCGCAACCACCGTCGCCACCACTATCGTCGCCGCCACTACCACCATACCACCGCAACCACCGTCGGCGCCATCACCACCATACCACCGCCACCACCACCACCATACCACCGCAACCACCGTCGCCGCCACCACTACCGTCATACCACCGCCGCCGCCACCACCACCATACCACCGCAACCACCGTCGCCGCCACCACTACCGTCATACCACCGCCGCCGCCACCACCACCATACCACCACCACCGCCACCACCACCACACCACCGCCGCCACCGCCACCACCACCGCCACCACCACCATACCACCGCAACCACCACCACCACTACCACCACCATACCACCGCAACCACCGTCGCCGCCACCACTACCACCATACCACCGCCGCCGCCACCACCATACCACCGTCGCCGCCACCACCACCACCACCACACCATCGTCATACTACCACCACCATCACACCAACACCACTACCGCCGCCGCCGCAACCATCGTCGTCGCCGCCACGACCATACCACCGCAACCACTGCCACCGCCACCACCACCATACCACTGCCACCACACCACCACCGTCATACCACCACCAATTATTATTATTATTATTATTATTATTATTATTATTATTATTATTATTATTATTATTATATAACGAATAACACCACTACCACTACACCACCACCACCACCATAATATTTTTGATATATTATTAGTTTTTTTTTTGTTGAAAAACTTAGCTATTTTTTATTATATTTAAAATTAATATTATATTATATTATTATATATTATTATACATGTTGTAATATTCTAAATAAAATAATTAAAATGTTTAATTATACAATTCTACTCATTTTCCAGAAAATGAACCAAACACACAAAAACAGTTTTCCAGAATGCAACCAAACACCGGAAAGGAAAATGTTTTCCGGAAAATGACTCATTTTTCAGAAAACATTTTCCAGAAGTCATTTTCCTGGTTTCCAAACGGACCCTAAATACCACGCTAGACGCTTATAGAATGACCTCTCTCTCTCTCTCTCTCCAGTGGTGGTTAACAAGGCATCGTGGGGTTCTCAAGAAGCACCTGGTGAGGTGCTTAAGCACCGTATGGTGAAAACATGCACTAAAATGTGCAAAGCAAAAGCACCATAAAGTGCTTACCCCGTTCATTGACTTCTCTGTTCGAGTTCGAAAATTATTCCAAAATTCAACATAACTTACCCCGCATGACTTGCTAAATTTTTTTTTTTTTACCAACAATCATGCATGTAAGATCGCGGTGCACACGAGTGAATCATTTCCAGGCTCATTCTTGAAATTGATTTGAAAGGGGGTGGGGGTGGGGTTCAAATCAATTTCAAGAATGACGACCCTGAAAATGCACGTCATTTTTACAATTTCACGTCGTTGTTTACAACAATCATGCACGTCGTTTTGGCCAGGGCGCACTAGTGCATGATGTAATTTATCTAGTGATGTCAATCTTAGCCCTAACCTGATGGGCTTGCCTGATAAAACTAAAAATTAGCCGATAAGTCCGGTGGCCCGTGGATCACTTAAGGTTATTCTTTACTATAGAAGTGATATGTGGAACATAACATACACGGAATTTATAGGTAAGCTCATCTTTAACATTTTTTGTATATTAAATTTATAAATAAAATTTTAACAAATATATTACAAATTAAAATATTTTTTTGAAAATAAATAATGAAAAATTTAAAACTTACTATAAATGTTATATCATAGTGTAAGTATATTAATTATTTCTAGTTGAAATTTAGAAATGGAGATATAGATTGATTGAATGATGTATAAGCTTATATTTATCAGTGTAAATATGCCAGTTTGGAATATAATTATAATTTATTTAAATAAACTTGAAGTGGGGTGGGGTAGGGGTGGCGGGTTATACGGGTTGGTCCGCAGGTTAGACATGTCAACACGTATAACCTGGGTACCCTTTACAAGCTAAACCAATCGTTATATTGTGCACTAGGGCGCACACTGCATTGTGTGTCCCGTCCCTCGCAAAACGACGTCGTTTTGACAAGTTGTGTGGGGAGTTGACGCGACAGAGTGTATGTACATTCTGTTATACAATTATGTACATTTTTTTATACAATTATGTACATTTTTTAATACAATGTGGGTACTCTTCTCACATGTTCCCATTTTAATTAACAGTTCAGCCCGCCCGATAAACCAGACTGCTTGAGGTTTAGGGTTTGGGCCAACCTGACAAAATAATGAAATAACCGATTAAGCCGAACCAATAAGAGCAACAACTCAAAGAACTAGCTCAAAATCGAGCAGATTGACCAAATTGACATCACTACTAAGGAAGCTAGACTCGACACTACAATTCCCAAGATGAATGTCTAAGATAGTAAAGGTTCAAGGGCTAAGAAGCAAGGGTTTGGACAGTATGAGTTTAAGCTGAACACTAAACAGTATCGAGCTTAACAACAAAATTTTTTCCATACGTTTAATGCAAAACATAGAGGAATAAATGAAGAATTCTAAGGAATGGGGCATGGAGATTGTTTCTATTTGATGAGGATTGGTTAATTGATAAAAAATCATGGACCAAATCCAGATTCTTTGTTTTTTATAGGCTCAAATAATAATCTACTTAACATGTTCAAAGTAAAAAAAAAAAAAAAATGTATTTCAAAATTAGGCACATAAAAAGTTTTTTAAATTTTCTTTTGATTATGAGGTATACAATGGATATGAACAAACTACTTACTCTGGCATTAATGAGACCTATGTTGGTTTAAATTTAAAAAATTGCTAACAGTGAAGGACCAAAATAGGTATGAGTACCTTATTCTAACAAATTTATTTTGCATTGAATAGGGTACTTTGATAGTGGACTAGCTAGTGGTTGTTCAAGACATATAACAAGAAACAAGTCTTTTCTAACCAATTTTAAGGCTATCAAAGGTCCAAAAGAAATGCATTATTAGTTTGTATAACATGGCATTATAAATTATTAAAGAAATATTCTATAATAATTTTTTTGGGCGGTAAACGAAACTGGTAGTTACTATTCGAGAAGTGTATATTCGTTAAACTCCGCTAACTTCTTGTGAATAACCCAACAAAAATAAATTACATTAAAATAATCTTGTGCAGCGAGTTCGTTCAAAAATAGAATTGAGAATTTTCTGTTTATGGGTAGTCAGCAATTAAGATTGTTAAAGATTTTTGTTTTTGTTTGAGGGTTTTTGCACTAAATCAGAATTTGCAAAGATTGAACGAGTCAAGGCTAAAACTTTAGGGGGAAAAATGAAATTTACGCAAAAATTGGGGTGCGCAAATACCGTTATCTTGGCGCCATGGCCCTCCGATTCAAAGCTCCACACTATAACGTCCTTGACATTAAATTACCTTTGAATTCCCGCGTTGACGTCTACTCTACGGTTGACTCCATCTTCCTCTTCCTCTTCCAGATGGGAGAAGATGAAACAAAGTCAGTCTTCTTCAAAACCTCTGCCATATTTCAGTGAATGAATTTCCAGGGAAAACCCAATCTCTCGCCGGAAAAAACACCCAAATCTTGACGCCGAGGAGGCGGCCTGGCTTGGTAAAGGTACTCAGTTCTATCCAAACTTATTATTTTTCTTGAATTTTTGATACGCCGAGCGTTTATCTGAATTTTCCGGTAAATATTACTGCTATTATGTTTGAGTTTGAAAATCTGATTTAATGGCAAATTAGTTTTACTTTGTTTAAATTTTTTTCTGAAAATCCTGAGTGAATTATGTTAATGTTGAAATCTGATTCAGGTGTGAACAAAACACAGAATTTATTCATGCCTTTGGGGTTATAATTTAATCATTATATCTGCAAGTCATGGCAAGCAATTTATGCATTGAACCCTTCCCAAACCCAGATTCGGGAATTCTTTGTGAAACAATTAAGGTTATTTGTGAAACTATAGATGCTGCCAGTTTTGTTCCAGTACAGAAGGAAAATTTCAAGAGATTATCGACTTTCTTGGAGAGAATTGGGTTAATCCTAAAGGATTTATCCAGGTTTGAAGTTATGAGAAATGAGAGCCTAATCTCTGCTGTTGAGACTCTCAAACTGGAGATTGAGGTTATAAAGGAACTCTCATTAGGGTGCAGAAACAGTAGTAAGATTTATCTCCTATTAAATTGCCTAAAAATTGTCAAGTGCTTGGAGGCTAACACGAGAGAGATTAGTCGGATCTTAGGAATTGTGACCTCGTGTTCTGAGAATGTTTCATCAGAAACAACTGATCAGCTTAGGGGTCTTGGAAATGATTGTACATTTCAAGTGTCTGTGGAGGAAGCAGAAATCTTGGAGAAAATCGAGTTGGGGATACGAGAGAGGAATACTGATAGATCTTACGCCAATGATTTGCTTAGTCGTATTGCTGGGGCTGTGGGGATCTTAACTTTTCACTCTGAGCTGAAGAAAGAGTTTGAAGACTTCAGGAGAGATTTGAAAAGCATTCGAGATAGGAAAGATGTGGCAGAAGCATTACGGATGGAACAAATCGTTCGCCTGCTAGGAAATGCTGACATGATTACTAGCACCGAGGAGAAGGAGAAGAAGTATCTGACTAAGCGGAACTCGTTGGGCAGGCAGTTAGTGGAACCTCTTCAGTCATTTTACTGCCCAATTACAGGAGATATCATGATGGATCCAGTTGAGACTACCTCGGGTCAGACTTTCGAAAAGGAAGCTATAGAGAAGTGGTTAGTGGAAGGGAACCATTTCTGCCCTTTAACCAAAACCCCGTTGAGCAAATCAGATCTTCGTCCTAACAAAACTCTTCGTCAGTCCATTGAAGAATGGAGGAATAGGAACAAAATAATTACTATTGCTTCTCTAAAACGAAGAATTCAGATGAGTGATGAGTCAGAAACACTTGTATCCTTAGAGACATTACTGGAGATCTGCCAAGGGAATGAGCTGCAGCGTGAGTGGATAATAATGGAAAACTTCACACCCATTCTGATAAATATTCTTTTTTCGCCCAATCAAGAATCAAGAAGGTGTTCATTGTCCATTCTCCGCAACCTTGCAAAGGAGAACGACGAAAGCAAGGTATACCTTGGTTTTCTTGTCTTTATGATTAATGATTCCAGTTAAACTTTGGACTAACAAAGCTAAGCAGAATAATGGGAATAATTAAGTTTATTTGTCTGATATTCATGTCTTTATACTCCATAGACAATAGTCATTGCAATCTTATTTTATGACAGGAAAGAATTGCTAGTGAATACAAGGCCATTGAGCCAATTGTGCGCTGCCTTGCGCGTAAACCTGAAGAAAGCAAATGTGCATTGCAATTGCTTTTGGAGCTATGCAAAAGTAATGTAGTTCGGGATTTGGCTGGGAGGGTCCAGGGTTGTATACTTTTGCTTGTGACAATCTCGAATAGTGATGACACTGAGGCTGCAGAATATGCTGAGAAGATTTTAGAGACTCTCTCATTCCTTGATCAGAATGTCATACAAATGGCAAGATTAAATTATTTTCGACCTTTATTGCAGCATCTTTGTTCAGGTATTTCCCCAATAAACTTGCTCTTAATCACAGACAAAAAACTGATGCTCTAAACTGCTTGTAAAAAAAGCTTAGAATAATTTTTGATAACAATGTTACAGATCAGGGAAGTGCTCAAATTGCTATGGCCAAGGCCCTAACAGATGCCCAGTTGAGTGATCAGAGTAAATTGTGTCTTTTAAAAGGTGGAGCATTAAATCCACTACTTAAGTTTCTCTGCCACAGTGACATGGAGATGAAGGTGGTGGCTATTGAAGCTCTGCTAAACCTTTCAACCGTAGCTCAAAACGGTTTGATGATGATCAAAGAAGGTGCTGTAGAACCATTATTTGAACTGCTCTTTTGTGATGCTGTCTCACCTCTTCTTTGTGAAAAAGTAGCTGCCATACTTATGCATCTTTCTCTGTCAAGAATTGGGGAAGATGCCAATAATGGTGGGTATGTTCCATTTTTGGAATCCCAGGAGCAGATTTTCAAACTCTTCTCTCTTGTTTCATTGAGTGGTTCTGAGGTGCAACAGAGCATTCTCCATACCTTTTGTGCAATGTGCCAGTCTCCGGTTTCTGGTTATAATGTCAGAACTAGGCTAAGAAAGGTGCGTTTCATTATCCTAAAAAATACAAGTTGAATTTGTTGTCATAAACCTATAAGTTAGTTCTGTTCCCACATATCCAAAAGCTTATGCCAATTGGTTTTTGTCTCTTCCAAATATTTATACATTTTTTTTGAAAATTATACATTCTTAGAACATTGTTCCTTAATGTTGGGATCAAGCTTTTACCACTATACCTAACAATCCCTCTTCCCAGCTGGACTTGGCCCTTACCGGCCCGTGACCTGGCTCTAATACCAGGTGTTAAGATCAAACGCTTACCACTATGCCAAAAGCTATAACTTGTAGCGACGGCGCAACTTTATTTCCTTATAGACCGTCATAACATTTTCGAGAGCCAAGGTGCTAGACTTAGCCCTTTATCGGCCTCCGCCCAACAATCCACCTAGCCACATGGTGTTGGACGTGGCTTTTACCGGCCTCCGCCCATCAATCTCCCTAGCCACATGGTGCTAGACTTGGCCCTTACCGGCCTCTGCCCAACACTTAACTTTTCGTATACGGAGCACTGATCCTTGTTCATAAATGAATATCAATACATATATACATTGATACTTTGGTTTTTCAACTAACTGGATGTGAATGATAATGTCTGTCATTCTGCAGATCTGTGCTGTCAAAGTCCTTGTACACTTATGTGAACTTGACAATTGCAAAGTCAGGGCAAATGCTGTTAAACTCTTCTATTGCCTGACAGAAGATGGTGATGATAGCACATTCTCACAGCATGTGAATGATAAATGCATTGGAACCTTGGTGGGGATCATGAAAACTTCTGATGAAGAAGAGGAGATTGCTGCAATCTTAGGTATCATCTCCAACCTTCCCCAAGAATCGAGGATGTCTCTGCACCTTCATGAAGCTGGTGCACTTCAGGCCATCTTAGATTGTCTAAATGACCATGCGTCGAAAAGGACTGAGATTGTTGAGAATGCCACAGCAGCCCTTTGTCGTTTCGCTCTTCCTGTGCACCCAGAATGGCAGAAAGAGGTAGCAGAAGCCGGGGCAATTCCTGTTTTGGTAAACCTACTTGAATCTGGGAATTCTTTGACTAAAAAACATGTAGCCATTTTGCTTAAACAGTTTTCGGAACGTTCTTCTGGCTTGAGCACACCCGTGAGGCAGGGATGGGGTCTTGTTTGTTGTTTCTCCTCAAATTTACCTAGGTGTCCACTCCATTCAGGGTATTGTACCATAGAATCCTCATATTGCCTTCTGGAGGCTAATGCTCCCAGGCCTCTGGCAAAGGTCCTTGAGGAGCCAGATGGAGAAGCCTGTGAAGCTTCATTGGATGCACTTCTGACGTTAATCGAAGGAGAACAGCTGCAGAATGGCTGCAAGGTTCTTGCAGAAGCTAAGGCCATTACTCCAATCATAAAACTGTTGAGCTCAGACTCTTCCAGGTTACAAGAAAAAGCTTTGAGGGCCTCAGAGAAGATATTTAGGGTGTTGGAACTCAAGCAAAAATATGGGTCATCAGCTCAGATGCCACTAGTTGAGATCACTCAGAAAGGGAGTGGTGAAATGAAATCTTTAGCTGCCAGAGTACTATCCCATTTGAAATTGCTCCCTGAACAGTCTTCCTTTTTCTGATGGACATGAGTGAAGTGAGAGAGATGAAGGTGAAGATCTACTTAATGGCCAAATATACAATTATATACACATCAGAGATATCTTATTCTTTGTTCCTTACCAACAAAAAACTGAATTCCAATACTGAGAAGCCTGAACTTCCATTTCATTCTCACTGATTTTATCAGAGAGAATTTGCAGTAAACTTGATGAAAAGAGGCTATCGTTAGAGAAGTTCACATATTTGGGCTATTGAATTGATTTTGCTTACTTGGATTTATGCATGATTAGGCTTATTGATACGTGTACTTTTATATTTGAGATGTAGATTGATATTTTTGTGCTCATATGTTGTATTTAATTTGTAACTTTTTATTTGAGAAATAAAATTCTTCGTTCCTATCAAAGCAATATCAAAGAGAATTTTGACTTTTTTTACACTAGTTTTTTTTATTTTATTTTTAAACTCATTAGTTGATTAAATTACAAGAAAGTAGGAGGAATGGAGAGCCATTCCATACGATCAGACAAAGAACTAGCTTCCTTGACTACTTTATGGGATGTTTGGCTCATGGGACTTTGCTATGCATTTCCGAGTTTTGCTACTTTGCTACATTACTCTAGAGTTTTCTAGCACTTGTACATAGCATCACATAGTTGGTAGAATATTCTAGAAATATGTGCATAACACTAGTAGTAATAGAGACTTATAAATATTCTAAAACCTTGTAGAACCATTAGATTTGTGTAGGGATTTAGGAAGGGTTCTAGAGAGTAATTAATAGTCATAGGATTAAGTAAATCTCCAGCATCCATTGAAGAGGTGGAATGGGCATAAATACCCCTCACGGGCTCATTTGTAAACAACTTCTAGAATCTAATTATTTAAATAATTTAAGCACGGCTGGAAATCATTGAATTTCCGACCACAATAAAGTGATCGGAAATAGCTTTATTCCTATTCCAACCACTTGGGGTATTCGAAAAACCTTCATCGCTATTTCCAACCACCACATGGAGTGATTATAGGGTTTGCAATGGAAACATCTAATACAAATTATCCTCAAATAACAACTGCTCTGTAAATTTAATACAATAGTTTATAACAAGGAGTTTACTTCAATTTATTCAACTTATTGTCAATTATAAAATAGAAAGAATGGCTCAAAAGCCTCAAAACAACAAAAGTCATAATCAGGATTCAAGCTATTTCTAAAGCCATTTGGATGGATCATAGTTAAAATTATTATAGCAAATTGCCTACCAAACACATATTTCAGTAATATATCAAAACCTAACACAAACTTGTGTTCATTTCATTTCTCTTAATATAAATGATGCATTCATTGGAATAACGTACCACAGACGCAAGAAACAGTCACAAGCAATTGACAGCTAAACAGTTAAAGCTATTTATATTATGTTTTTTCCTTAGTTTGTTAAGGTTGTTAAGTTGTTTTTTTAAAGTCCTAATTAGGTGGAAGTGAAAGTTAAGTTCCTTAGGTATTTCTTGGGTAGTTTTTCAGAGTTCAAATCACCCATTGTTTTGTCTAAGAAATCAGAAAATTGTCTAATGCAATTTGGGAGAGGAAGAACTCCAAAACTCTTCATTCTTTTTCTATTTATCCTTGTTTCCTTAATTGCCACTGCAATCATAGGGAAATCAAAGGCATCTAAGTTGTCAGTTCCCCCAAGCCCCGTCCACCGCCCAGTGACGCGTTCGCACATTCCCGGGCCCACAACAAATTTGGTATCAGAGCCTGACGTCATGGGCGATCAGACATCGACACTGGCCAACCTCCTGACTGCAATCGAGGCCATGAGGGCTGATCAGGAGGCTGTGAAGGCAGAATTCCAGGCGATGTTCCGGCAGCTCATGGCCGAGAAAGAGGCTGCGTCCAGCAGCGACGCCGCGCCACCTCCCGTGCAGGTTGCACCGGCTCCCCCTACCACTACCCCGAAGTTCACCAGGCTGGAGTTTCCCCGGTTTGACGAGCATGAGGACCCCATCCGGCTTGCTTCACCACTGCGAACAATTCTTTAAAGCACAGAACACCCCGCCACAGGAATTCGTTAGCTTGGCCGCCTTCCACCTGACGGGGGTGGCGCAGATGTGGCATTTTCAACTAGAATTGGGGGAACCGGACCTTACCTGGGCTCAGTTTAAGCAGCACTGTTACCTACGGTTTGGACCAGGTCTCTGGAGCAATGCGCTGGGGACTCTCGTCAAGCTTAACCAGGGTGGCCGCCCCATTGAGGACTACAATGACGAGTTCCAGGCCTCACTGCTGCGGACGACATCGGTGCGCCCCGACCAGGTTGTGGACCTCTACACTACAGGCTTGGACGAGTGGCTCCGGATTGACGTGGAGAATCAAAGGCCGATGAACCTGGATATGGCCATGAACATGGCCCCGTCGTCCTCTCGTCGGCAGCAGCCCCCCTCTCACTCGTCATTTCTTCCCTTCGCAGGTGGGCCCTCGCGGATGACGGCGTCCTCGCGACCAATAGCGCGACCTGAGCAGGCGAGTGCGGCGCGACCTGGGCTGACGGCTCCGGCGAATTCGGCGACAAGCTCGGCCGGAAGTGTCTCTGTCGCAAACCCTAGGGCGTCGTCGGCCGGCGACGGTTCGCGAGGCGGCTCGTCGACGTTTCCCGCTGAGCGTCGCCTCTCTCGCTCGGACTACCAGTTTCGACGTTCGAAGGGACTCTGCTTCCATTGCGATGAGCCTTGGTCTCCTTCGCATAACTGTAAAGTCTTATTTTATTTTGTTATTGATGAATGCCCAGGTGATGTGAGCCACGCAACTCAAGTGGGCCTAGCTGATGAGCCGGACCACACACTTATGGACTACATGCATACAGACTTGGAAAGCCCAGAAATTTCCCTTCATGCCATTACGGGAACTAGTCGCGGCAACACAATGCACGTTAAATTACAAATTAACGCCCTCCCGATTACGGCCTTGATTGACTCGGGGAGTACGCACAATTTAGTGGATGCAACCACCGCAACGCGGTTGGGTTTACCGGTTCGCGAATGTCCGTACTTGCAAGTAGCGGTGGCGAATGGGGAGCGTATCACCGGGCTCGGCGTTTGCGAAGACGTCCTTCTTCAGAAAAATGATCATTTATTTCCTGTTCATTTATATATTATTCCTTTAGTTGGTTTTGAAATTGTACTCGGTGTAAATTGGTTACGCACGCTAGGTGCCATTATTTGGGATTTCACGGCACTGACCATGACTTTCTCGTAGGCGACAAACCTGTCACATGGCAGGGGGAGTGCAACCCACCCAGCCATACACTTAATGCCATACAACTGCAAGTCAGTGCTAATAATGCCTTGGAGCACGTTCTGACGGACTATTCTGGCCTTTTTCAGGAACCTACGGTATTATCGCCACAATGCCAATGCGATCACCGTATTACATTGGTTACCGGCGCAGACCCGGTGGCCGTTCGCCCATATCGCTATCCTCAGGCTCAAAAAGATGAAATCGAGCGTCAATGTCTTTCTATGCTGGAACTCGGCCTTATTCGGCCAAGTCGCTCGCCATATTCCTCCCCAGTTTTGTTGGTTCTTAAGCAAGATCGCTCGTGGCGATTTTGCATTGACTACAGGGAGTTGAACGCCAAGACCATAAAAGAGAAGTTCCCGATTCCGGCAATCGACGAACTTTTGGATGAGTTACATGGGTCTCGTTTCTTTACAAAATTAGACTTACGTTCCGGATATCATCAAATTCGCATGCATCCGGAGGATGTTGAGAAAACGGCTTTTCGTACACACCATGGCCATTTTGAGTTCTTGGTTATGCCTTTTGGCCTCTGCAACGCACCATCGACATTCCAAGCTCTCATGAATGAGGTTTTTCACTCTGTACTTCGTAAATTCGTTTTGGTTTTCTTTGACGATATTTTGATTTATAGCAGGTCTTGGGCGGAACACGTCTCTCATGTCCGGACGGTTTTTGCTCTCCTCCGACGTCATCAACTGTTGGTCAAAAAGTCCAAGTGTTCTTTTGGTGTCGACAAGGTCTGTTACCTCGGCCACATTATCGATGCCACTGGAGTTTCTATGGATTCCAGCAAAGTCCAGACGGTCTTGGACTGGCCGCAGCCGTATTCTGTTAAAGGTCTACGTGGTTTTCTTGGTCTTGCCGGATTCTATCGTAAGTTCATTAAGGACTTTGGCGTAATCGCTGCTCCTTTAACATCTCTTCTTCGGAAACATAACTTCGTGTGGACGCCGGAGGCGACGGCTGCCTTTCAGGCACTCAAAACCGCGCTTACCACGGCGCCAGTGTTGCAACTGCCGAATTTCTCTAAACCGTTTGTGGTTGAATGTCACGCCTCGGGGGTGGGCGTGGGTGCTGTTTTACACCAAGATAACCACCCGGTGGCCTTCTTTAGTCGGCGTCTCGCCACTCGACATCACAAACTGGCCTCGTATGAACAGGAGTTGATTGGGTTATCTCAGGCGATTCGGCATTGGCGACACTACCTGTGGGGCCGTGCCTTCACGGTCCGCACCGATCACTATAGCCTGAAGTTCCTACTCCAGCAACGCCTCACCACATCTCCCCAACATCATTGGACCCTCACAGCCCCAGCAGTACATGTTCATAGTTCTCTCAATATCAGTGAAAAACTTTTTGGAATGGAGAATACACTCATTGCATAAGACGGGATAGCTTGGAGGACAACTGAATCCCTCTTGGCTGCTGTACAAATGTACAAGATATGTTCTTTCACTCTTTAATAAATCAATGTTACAGAATGGAACTTCCTCTGATCATGATTGGTTAATTCTTGTCTTTCTCACAAATCAGAAAGGAAAACAGAATTCAAACCATTGTAAATTATTTATCCTGTATATATATATATATATATATATATATATATATATATATATATATATATATATATACACACAATACAAGGTTACTCTTGTTCCAGTCTCATTTGAGTTGTCAATTTATCTAGGATGTCATAAATCTCTGCTGTTTTCTCATGGGATCTGTCACAGGCTACAAATACATGCTTCTCACCTTTATCCTCAATCCAACTGCATCCTGGGCTTTTGTGCATTTTCCTTTCATTGATGACCTTTCTTGTAATTGCAAAATCATCCCATCTCCCCACAGATGCATACAAATTTGCCAACAATACATAGTTTCCCGAGTTAAACGGTTCTAGCTCTAGGAGTTTTTCCGCGGCAGTTTCTCCCAACTCGATGTTTCCATGGATCACACAGCCTCTCAGAAAGGCATTCCAAATCACGGGATCAGGAGCCATAGGTGTTTTGCAAATAATATCGTAGGCTTCATTCAGTCGCCCTGTTCTGCTAAGAAGGTCGACCATACATGTGTAGTGTTTTAGTGTGGGTGTCACATTATAAGATGCCATTAAATCAAAGAATTGTTTTCCAGCCTCAACTGACCCTGCATGGACACATGATAAAAGAACTGATAGGAAGGTTATGCTGTCTGGTTTGAAACCATTTTCTAGGATTCTACGGAAGAAAGTAATTCCCTCCTCCCCACATCCGTGCATAGCATATGCAGTAAGCAATGCATTTTGAGTGACCAAGTTATAGTTCTGGATCATATTATGAGCTAGTACCGCATGTTTTATGCTCCCGCATTTTGCATACATGTCCACGAGGGCGGCACCAACATATGGATCGGATTGGTAACCATATCTAACTGCATATGCATGAATCTGTTTCCCTCGGTCAAGAGTCGCTAACCTTGAGCAGGCTGGTAAAACAATTCCAATGGTGTAAATATCAGGCGTCAAATTTGATAATTGCAATTCTTTAAACAACTCCAGGGCTGACTCGTTCTGGTCTCTTTCTACATGGCCAGCAATGATAACATTCCATGTACATATGTTGGGATAGAATCCATCTTCTTTCATCTTCTGAAGATTGTACCGAACATTTTCAAGTTGGCCAGAATGAGCATAGCCAGAGATTAAAGCATTCCATGATACTATATCCCTCTCAGCCACCTCATTAAAGGCTTTCTGGGCAGCGTTTATGTCTAGGCACTTACAATACATTTCTACCAATGCTCCACCAACGAAAGGATCTGATTGAAAACCCGTAACAACTGCATACGAATGTATCTCCATCCCACATCTTAAAGAACCGATATCTGCACAAGCAGCAAGGGCGCTACCCAAGGTAAAAGAATCAGCTTTGATTTGTTCTTTCAAGATTATGTTGCGGAACATACTTAAAGCTTCATTGGCCATTGAATTATTTACATAACCCGAAATCATTGAGTTCCACGAAATTATGTCATTCCGCTTTTCTTCAAGTTCCATTTGTTGAAAGAGCTCTTCAGCCCTTGAAACATCCCCATTCTCAAAGTACCCCACTATCATTGTATTGAAGGAAACCTCATTTCTCACTGAATATATTGAAAACACACGGAAAGCGTATTCCATATCCCCACACCTTCTGTAGACATCAATTAAGCCATTGACAACAAAAGAGTTGCACATAAATCCGTTTCTTGTTAGATAACCATGAATTTCCTTCCCTAGATATAGCATCTGCAGTCTTCCACAAGCAGGAAGGACACTTGCCAGTGTCTGAGCATTCGGTTCGAACCCAGCAGCTTGCATTTTATAAAGCATCTCAATGGCAGCTTCATCATAACCATTCTGTGAAAACCCACCAACCAAAGCGCTCCAGGAAACAAAATTGGGAGCCAAATTGTCCACTGCTGACATTTGATCAAAAGCATCCAGGGCGTCATCCAAAGCTCCATTAGTAGCACAAGCCGAAAGAACAGAGTTCCAAGAAACACAATCCCTCTTTGCTACGCTCCACAAAGCTTTTTTTGCGTCATTCAAGCTCCCACATTTACCATACATATCTATTACAGCATTTCCCACGTAAATGTTCGATAAAAATCCTATCTTTATCACTAACGCATGCAACTGCCTTCCCAGTTCCATTCCGCCATAGCCACTACAAATCTTCAGCGCCAATGGAAACACGAAGAACTCCAAATCCAAATCTTCGAACCGCAACTGTTGAAAGCAATAAAAAGCATCCTGGAAGAACCCATTATTTATGTAGACGTTGAGAATCGCAGTCCATGAGTACAAGTTTCTTCTAGGCATTTTGTCGAACAACATGACCGCATCATAAAGACACTCGCACTTCCCATACATTTGGAGGAGCTTGGTCTCGACGAACTCGTGGCCGTGGAATCCATTCTTGAGGGCCTGGGCGTGGACTTGCTTACCTAGTTCAGGAGAGTCACACGAAGCGAGCACTGAAGCGTAGGCGCTGGAATTTAAGGGGTCGTCCAGAGGAGATAAATGGGCGTGAGTTCTTGTGAGTGGAGAATGAGAAATGGGTTGTTGAAACCGGTTTACACGTTGGGTAAGTTCTGGTCTCTGGAAAGGAAGGCGGGTAGTCTTGGATTCAATGGGCCGGGGAGGTGGCGAAGCGTTAGCCGGAAGCGGTGGCACTCTGGGTTCCAACAGTGAAACCATCTGCAGAAAATTTTGTGAATTACCGAGAATAGTTTAGTGAAGTTGGTCATTAGAACATACTAAGAGCATCCACATTGGTTGGGGAGAATGGGGAGATAATGTAAGAGTGATTAGGAAAGAGAGTGTGAGAGAGGAGAGAAAAAAAAAAAAAAAAAAAAAAAGTAATCAGACGCGTCAGGCGCGCCGACGCGCCTCCAGCCGCGTGCAGTGCACGCGCCCGGCTTTTGCCCAAGGCTGTGCGCGAACGCGCACAGCCTTACTTCTTCTTCTTTCTCTTTTTTTTTTTTTTTTTTTTTTTTTTGACAATATCCTCACATTTGCAGGAGGATTCTTTTTCAATTATCTCTCCTTCACACTAGTTATTATCTCATGTAGGGAAGAATTAATGTTGAAATCTCCCCACAATATACACAAGTGTGGATGCTCTAAGGACATTCTCAATAGTGAGAATTTTGGTGTAATTTTTGAAAAGTTTTTGAAAGTGTGATTAAGAAAGAAAAATGAGTAAAAAGAGAAAGAAAATAAAAATTAAAAACGGACAAAACCCATAAAAAATCTCCAAAACTTTCAAAATTTCGGACAAAACCCACAAACTTGCAGGAGCAACCCAACCCTCTCTCTCCTCTCTCCACCACATACTCGTTTTTTTTCTTACTTTTTGTACAAAATTCTCTTGTTGGGGATGCGGCATCCTCAAGAATGGTAGGATTTTGATGAAATTTTGCAAGTGTAATTAGGAAAGAGAAAAAAAAACTGAAAAAAACCCTCAAACCCCCGGCCCCAAAATTCCCTAAAATTTTCAAAATTCTGACAAAATCCCTTAAATAACCTAACAATCCCACCTCAACTTATTCTTAAAATATGTGCAAAATTCCCCTAATGGGGATGCCCTAAGATCATACCATAAGGAGGGAAGAATAAAAAAAAAAATTAATACTAAAAGTTGTAAAAAGTTTTTTTTTTAAATTAAGCCTTTTACGCGCTCAGCTAGGCGTTTCTGTGTGCTGAGTAGTCGCTGACACACCATCTAGGTAACTTTTAAATTTGGCAGAAGTATCAAATAGGTCCATCTACTAGTGCAAGTGCTCAATTCACACCACGACCTAAATTAAAGTCTAATTAATCACACTTACCAGCTAAATTTGAAGGTTGCTAACCGGTTGTAAATTTAATTATTAAAAAAATAATTTAAATTTTTTTTTAAAAAAGAATTTCTGCCACCGGCTGTGCGAGGACAGCCGGTGACTGAGTATTTCACAAACAGCCATGACTATTCAGCGAGGACAGCCAGACAGCCACGACTGTCAAACATGAGGTCCAGATCTGGACCTCAAACGGCCTGGAACGAGGGCGGCGGCCATGGCCGTCGCCCTCGTTCCAGACGACTATGGCCGTCCCTAGATAGCCATGGACGCCTAATATTATGTTTCTTGATAATTAAATTGGCAACCGATTAGCAACCTGCAAAAAAAGTCAATTGAACAAATTTAACTGGTAAGTGTGGTTGATTAGACTCTAATTTAGTTCGTAGTGAGAATTGAGCAGTTCGCACTAGTAGATGGGCATATTTGACACTTCTCCCTTTAAATTTTTTATAAGAGGAATGGTCAAATAGGCCATCCAATTTCACATCAAACTATAATTGGACCATTGAACTCAAAAACACTACAATTAGGTCTCCGAACAATACAAAATAATGTAATTCAACCTAAAATGACATGTTAACCTATTAACATGCTGACGTGACGGTTACCGATTTTTTTAAAAATTTTATTTTAATAAATGTTAATTAAATAATTATTTAAAACTTTAAAAAAAAAAACACTCGCATTCTCGGGTAAGAAGGCGAGGGGTTGCCTTCTCACCCGAGAATGGCAACCTAGTGGGTCGCTTTCTCAATGGAAAAGGCAATTGGGTTGCCTTCTCCAGTGAGAAGACAGCCTCAGGTCGCCTTCTCACCAAAGAAGGAAACCCAATTGCCTTTTCTTTTGTAGGTTTTTTGAATTCAATGGTCTAATAGCATTTTATTGTGTAGTTGAATGATCAATCGTTATGCTGTGCATCCGTATGCACCATGCATGGTGCATACGGATGCCAAAACGACGTCGTTTTATTAAAAAACGCTCGTCTCCCCTTTAAAAAAAATTCAGGTTCGATTCCCAGCAACAACATTATATTGTTCATTCATTCTGGAATTTTAGTTCATAGATTATTGAATTATAGTTCATTGATTATGGAATTATAGTTCATCGATTATGGAATTGTAGTTCATCGATTCTGAAATTTTAGTTTATAGATTATGGAATTTTAGTTCATTCATTCTGGAATTTTTAGTTCATAGATTAGATTATGGAATTATAGTTCATCGATTATGGAATTTTAGTTCATCGATTATGGAATTTTAGTTCATATGTTGTTGCTGGGAATCGAACCTGATTTTTTTTAAAGGGGAGACGCGCGTTTTATTAAAACGACGTTGTTTTTGCATCCGTATGCACCATGCATGGTGCATACGGATGCACAGCATAATTTGCCTTGAATGATCTATTTGACCCTTATTCATTTTTTATATTATAATGGGCCCACAAAAAATCATACTTTGCTGGGAGATTTCAAATTTCTCTCTCTTCCATATTATGATTGGCCCCACAAAAAATACTTAAAACTACTAATTGTGATGCTCTACGCCTCTAAGGCTATTCGTATACAAAAATATTACATGAACTCCCATTTCTAATCACAATTTTGACCCTCTTTCACAAATTCTTGATGTTACCTACGTTTCACAGATTATAAACTTAGAACAATATTGGAACACATGTACATAGTCTATCTGTTAATTTCAAGCACATCATATGTTAACTGTAGGTACAAAATATATTAACTATAGCTTATCAAATCAAAAAAAAAAAAAAAAAAAAAAAAAAGTGTCAAACAAGCCACTAAACTTATGTCTTTTGTGCAATTGGATCATTGAATTAAAAAAGTGTGCAATTGAAACATACTTTTTTCCCCAATTTTTCTCAGTAGAGTGCACTCAAATTACTTACATGGTATGTAGTATGTATTAAGAATCATCTTTTCCTCTGCTATACTAGTTGAGATGAAAGATTGAGATATTTTCAACTTAAATTGTATTAAAAGAAATCATAAAAATGTCACAATTGCACATATTTTACTCTTTTGATGGTTTAATTGTACATTTTTTTTTTAAGTTTAATGACTCAATTACACAAAAGCAATAAATTCAGTGACCTATTTGGCTATTTGACATTTATTCCTAAAAAATACTTTAGGTCCATTGTAAAGGCTTGCTAATTTTTAACTAAATATCTCTTAAATTTTTACTATAATCATGCATGATTACGTGCCAAACACTCAATTTATAAATATTTAGATTTAAGTTTATTTACCTATAATTCATTAGTTCGCATATTATTAACTAATTAGAATAATGTTATGGTGACATGTATGTTACATTTATAGTTAATAGATTATATACTTAGAGATATATGTGTATTATGTACATACTGTTACCTTAAAAAAAATGTACATACTGTAAATATGAATGTTGATAAATAGAAAGAAAAAATAATAATTACGTTAATGTAAACAAAAATACGCAATTTTAGATCAGAATCGATAATACATATTTAAAGTAGCGATGAGCCTACAACGAACTATGTGGGTTGTTGAATGCTGCATTTAGACAACCCTTTTGGATATGTGGGTTGTTGAATGCTGCATTTAGACAAGCCTTTTGGAATCCAATAAAGCACTTTCAATATGGTTAGGTTTGACTTCACTCATCATAAACCTATACTAGATTCTATCCATCATTGTGTCACAAAAAGAGTGTTAACATTCATTCTAAAATATTGAATCCCCAACCCCGGCCCGACAAAGCATTTGAAAAGATGTAAATCATTGTAACTAAAGTGAACCATAGAGGTTAGACTTTGCTTACGCATCCAAAATTAGGTAAGCATAAAGATTCACTATGTAACAACACTACATTCCTTGACAACCCACTATAATTTTTCGGAGTAAAATATGTTTTTGCTTTCCATGGAAAAATGGCCATACATTACCCCAAACTTCTGCACAATCGACGAAATCATACATTTATTTGTTGGAAAAAAATAGCTTAAAATGACATAAAATTCTTGGGGAGGAAAATGTTGTTGAGAACAACAATGGTGGGAATGGCAACAACGTTGCAAATTCATAAGCACCACCAGTGAACGTTGATTCACAAGATGGTGGGAGCACCGAGGGATACATCCCTACGATGCGGGTACCTACGGTACCAAGTGGTTCGGCCGAAAGACCGGAGAAGTTCACCGGTAGTGGATCGAACTTCAAGAGGTAGCAACAAAGAATGTTGTTCTACCTGGCAACTCTCGGCTTGGAAAAGTTCTTGACCGAGAGAGTTCTCGAGTTAAGATGCCCAATCCGTGATGACAATTGGCTATTGGAATGATTCGGACTTCTATTGCCGAAACTACATCCTGAACGGATTATGTGATGCGTTATACGATGTATATATATCGCAAGATTGGCACAACGAAAGCGCTGTGGGAAGCCTTGGATCATAAATACCGAAGCGAGGATGTCGGCTCAAAGAAATTTGTGGTTGGTCGATTCCTTGACTTCAAAATGGTTGTTTCCAAGACCGTGCTAAGTCAAGTTGAAGATTTGCAACTAATCTTTGACGAGATTCGTGACGAGGGCATGTTGTTGAGTGAAGCATTCCTAGTGGGATCTGTGATCCACTTACTGCCTCTAGGGTGGAAGGACTTCAAGAACTACCTTAAACACAAGCGAAAGGAGATGAATCTGGAGGACCTGATCCAACGACTCAGAATTGAGGAAGGGAACAGGACGAATGATGGGAGAAATTCTGTCATTAGTGGCTCTAAGGCCAACGTTGTGGAGCACGGTAAAAGCTCCAAGAAGAACAAGAAGGACAAGCGAAAGCTAGGTCCGAATGGAGGCGTTAACAAGAACAACTTTCATGGTACATGCTATAATTGTGGTAAGCCTGGCCACAAGTCGTCTGAATGCAAGGCTCCAAGCAAGAAGAACAAGAGTTCTAAAGCCAACGTTGTTGGAGAAAGCAGTCAGATGGAGGTCGAGATTAGCATTTCGGCTATGGTGACCGAGGTGAACCTTGTGGACTCTAACCCACGAGAGTGGTTCATCGATACTGGTGCAACTAGGCATTTATTTTGCAACCGAGAGATGTTCAACACCTTTGAGACCGTTGATGACGAGAAGGTTTGGATGGGAAACTCTGCTCAGTCTGCTGTGAAAGGCATGGGCAAGGTGGTTCTGAAGATGACTTCTGGTTAGGAACTGACGTTGAACAACGTGCTGTATGTTCCAGAGCTAAGGAAGAATCTGGTGTCTGGCTCGCTGCTGAACAAGCATGGGTTCCGCATGGTGTTCGAGTTAGACAAGGTTGTTTTGTCTAAACTAGGAATGTTTGTAGGCAAATGTTATGTATCTGATGGGCTTTTTAAGCTCAATGTAATGCATATTGTCATGAATAAGATCAAAGTTACTCCTGTTTACTTGCTTGAGTCTTCCAATTTGTGGCATGGTAGACTAGGTCATGTTAATTTTAATTATATACATATCTAAAAACATAATAAGTGTGAATTAAAGTTATACCCCTGATTTATGTCCGTTTTTCCCGTTAAGTTTTTTTGTACATTATGCTATAAAGGTTGTACATTAAAATATTTTGGACAAACATACCCCTATCGTTATAACTTCCATGATCTTTTCCACTATTGTTACCATGCACATGCATCCACCATATATTTTCTTATCTTCTTCATTAATAATAATATATAAACATTATATATTTGAGTTATATGTTAATTATTACATAAAATATAAATATCAAATTTATAAAAATGATTTACATTATTATTATTATTATTATTATTATTATTATTATTATTATTATTATTATTATTATTATTTAGAATAATTTAAATATCTAAAATCTAAATAAATTTAAAATTTTAATATAATGTATTAATATTGGGCACCTATTTTTTGCGCATCGCGCATAAAAAAATACTAGTATTAATTAATATGAACCATATTTCTAATTTTAAATTAACACAAATAACAAGTGTGAAATTTGTGTTGAGGCAAAACTGACAAAAGCACCTTTCAAATCGGTTGAAAGGGAAACTGAATCACTATAATTAATCCATAGTGATTTGTGCGATTTTAGATCGATACAAACGAGAGGTGGTAATAAGTATTTTATCACTTTTATCGATGATAGCACATGATACTGCTATGTGTATTTGCTTAAGAGCAAAGATGAAGCCGTGGATAAATTCGTTCTTTATAAGAATGAAGTGGAAAACCAACTTAATCGGAGTAGTAAGAAGGTTAGAAGCGATAGAGGTGGTGAGTACGAAGCACTGATTGGTGACTTCTGTGCAAGTGTAGGTATCATACACGAGCGTATGACACCTTACGCACCTCAATCGAACAGTGTTGCCGCACGAAAGAATCGTACATTGAAAGATATGATGAATGTGATGCTTATAAGTTCGGGCCTACCTCAAGGTATGTGGGGGAGGGGGGGGGAGCGATTTTGACAAATAATTACCTTTTAAATA